ACTTAAGAAAGATATTTCACGTGAACATGTTGAAGGAATACTTGCAGAGACCCGAGGAAGTGTCAGCCATATGTAACCCTGCACACGAGGACGCAGATAGTCTCCCCATACCCGACTTATTAACCCCTAACTCCCCGGTTGAAATAGTGAGCCAAGTGCAGATCGGGGACAGACTTAGCCCAGTTGAGAGGGAGCAGCTACACAAACTGCTCCGAGAGAAACAAGCCATGTTCTCCCAAGAGCCAGGGTACACTGAGCTGACCACTCACTAAGTAGATACCCCCGGCCAAAACCCTTTGAGACAGGCGCCCTACCGAATTCCGGAGGCAGTAAGGACAGGCATGAAAAAGGAAATAGACGAGATGCTGCGACTAGGGGTCATTGAAGCTTCCGATAGTCCCTGGGCATCCCCGGTGGTTCTGGTCCCCAAAAAGGACAGCACCACCAGATTCTGTGTGGACTACCGGAAACTCAATGACAAAACTGTCACCGATGCCTACCCCATGCCCAGAGTGGATGAGCTGCTAGATCGCATAGCCAGGGGGAACTACCTAACTACCATTGACCTCTGTAAGGGTTACTGGCAAATTCCCCTGGACAGGGAGGCTGTCCCCAAGTCGGCCTTCGTCACCCCGTTCGGTTTGTACCACTTTAAGGTCATGCCGTTCGGGATGAAGAATGCCCCCGCTACCTTCCAGCGCTTGGTAGACAGACTCCTTGATGGCTTCCAGGAGTTTGCCTGCGCATACCTGGACGACATAGCGATCCATAGTGAGTCCTGGGAGGAACACTTGGCTCATGTGGGAATCGTCCTGGATCAGATCCGGGCCGCCGGCCTGACGCTAAAGCCAGAAAAATGTCACTTTGGGATGGCTGAGGTGCAGTACCTGGGCCACCGGGTAGGCTGTGGGAAGCAACGACCGGAGCCAGCTAAAATAGAAGCGGTCGCCAACTGGCCCACTCCACACACTAAGACCCAAGTGCTAGCCTTTCTGGGTACCGCTGGGTACTACAGGAGATTTGTACCGGAGTATAGCGCCATTGCCAAACCCCTGACGGACCTGACGAAGAAAAACCTTCCCCGACAGGTCCTGTGGTCACCCCACTGTGAAACTGCCTTCCAAGCACTCAAAACTGCGTTGATTGATGCTCCTGTCTTGGCTGCCCCAGCCCCTAATAGACGTTTTATTGTCCACACAGACGCTTCCATGTTCGGGCTGGGAGCTGTCCTCAGCCAAGTAGGAGATGATGGGAAGGAACACCCGATTGCCTACATCAGTCGAAAACTTCTACCACGCGAAGTCAGCTATGCCGCAGTGGAAAAGGAGTGTTTGGTCCTGGTGTGGGCATTAAAGAAGTTAACCCCTTATTTGTATGGACAAGAGTTCACTCTGGTTACAGACCATAACCCGCTGGTGTGGCTCAACCGGGTCGCTGGGTACAATGGCAGATTGTTACGCTGGAGCTTATCCCTGCAACCCTTTAATTTTACAATCACGTACTGACCTGGGAAGCAGAACGGCAACGCAGACGGATTATCCCGGCAAACAGATCTCAGCCCAGCATAACTCCACGAGTCTGGACAGCCTTAGTCTGCCCCGAAAAGGGGTCAGACAGTGTCTGCCAGAGTGTTCCACAAAGAGGGAGCATTGTTACAAAAGACTGGAAATCACTATGTTGCTGTTTTAAATCACCGATTGATACTGTTTGCCACTGTATAAGTTTAAGCAGAAAGACACACGAATGGATTACTCGAACCCTTATAAAGGCTCCATTCGGGGTACGAACGGGGGACCCCCCAGAAACTGGCGTGTGCCGCCACTTAACCCCGTCAACCCGCAAACTACCGAACGGTCCACCACCTGGCCAGCGGAGTGTGGCAGCCATTAATCACCCAGGCGGCTGCGGTTTGCGGTTAACCACAACTTAATTGATAGGCCTGGGGGCATCGACGTTCGCACCCAAAGTACCGAATGGAATCTACCGAACTATCAACCGAACGGCAACCCCCTACAGCGGGTCGCGTGGCGCTCATTAATTTGTGGTTGCTGCGGTTAACCGCAAGTCAAGTACCCCTCTACCAGGTGGTCCTCGTTCACGTACCGAACGAGTTCCACTACCAGACGGACAGCGGGGCTTCGCATGAACTGATACCCAGGTTTAGTTCCACGAGTTAGAAGCGAGGTCCTGCTGCCCGCTAAACCATCAGAAAACATGGCCGCCAACAGAGACTTACAACCCAAAATGCCGAACGGACTTTATACGACAGAATCAGTTCTTTCTGTTCGTGGGATTGGAGTGCCATTCGCCTGTTTAACATATACGAACGCGAGCCTTTAGATGAATGGTAGAATGAGCGGTTTCCCTGTATTAATGTAAAAGTTATGGATTTTTATGCAGTTTTCTGGGACATAAAATGTGGTCTTTTGTGCGCTTGACGATAATTAGATTGTATAACCGTTGGCCTCATTATCTCCAAGCTGGACGGGTACTAATTCAAATAATACACTGTACTGTGATTGGATATTTGTCTGTACTGTACTGTATCCCATCAGGTCCACAGGGGGCTGTCCTTGGACCTGAGGAATCACATAAATTGCCATGCTATGTGCCAGTAAAGCCAGTTCGTTTTGACCCTCAACTTGCAGCCTCGACTCATGTTGTAGGGATCCGGGATATTGATGCTTATTTCGTGTTTGGGAATATTCTACCACCAAAAGACCTCCGTTTGACTCTCTGCAGCGGGAACCAGGACATCCAAGCGATCAACCCTCCTGCTAGACCGGGGGCAATCGTAACAAAGATTACTTAGTATTAGTAAATTCAAACCCTACTCGCTACACCGCAAGTAGGGGCAAGTCTAGTGTGGCAAACCTAGCCACTTGGGACTGCCTAAGATAGAATGGTTGTACCTATTTTCTGTTGTGTACTGCGCGCCGGTATAGTGTGGCGTCTCCGGCTATGTTTAATTTATGCTGTACTGTGTATGTCTGTTCGAATCCTCCCCATTCGTTAGCATTGCTATTAAAACTGACTAAGTTGTATATTTTGAAGTTGAAAGGTAATGGTTTATGTCCTCGTGGTTTTCATTACTGTATGTTACAGCAGGGGCTGTTGGGAGGAGGACCTGGAAACGGTAGTCTCCCTCCAGTCCCCTCAACCAAAAACCCTGCTGCCCATCTTTGGAAACCCCTGTTGAGTGACCTGCTTTAAATATCAGTTATTTTTAATAAAGTGACAGTTGAGTGACCTGCTTTAAATATCAGTCTTTTTTGAATAAAGTGGCAGTTGACTCTCAGACTGTGTTTCGTCTGGTTCTTGGGAGGATTTGGGAATATTGCCTGCTTCCAGCTTTGTACTTGGTTATTGCATTCTACCAGCAGAGATCCTGGGATTATAAAATTGCAGCTCCGCAACAATTGGTGGCAAGCGGCGGGATCCAACCGCACAGCAGGAAAAACGCTGTTTATACAATTGGAATTGACTACTGGAAAGCAGAAGGCAATTGATACAGATGCAGAAGTGAATGGGGACGGACTACACCATATTGAAACGGCAAACGTTAAAGGAGCTGTTGGAAGCCAGGGGTAAGATAGCCAGCAATAAGCCTAAAGCAAGACTTATTGCCGAGCTAATGGAAGGAGACCGAGCTCGTAGTGCTACACCCCCAGCAAACATGGAGGAGACCCCATCTGAACGAGAAATGAGGACAAGATTGGCATTTTGGCCCGCTCCAGTATCTCCAGAAATTATGACCATAATTTCGGCGGATGCACAGGAGTATGTGATGGCGCAAATGAATCAAGCCTTCTCACCTCAAGCAGAAACCGCTGCTGTTTCAACTGTGGGCCAGGGAAGGCCAAAAATACCACATCATGCATTTAAAACTTTTTGCGAGGATAAAGACGAAATAGATGGATTCTTGCAAGATTTTGAAAGATTGTGTGACTTGCATGATGTAGAGCAAGCTATGTGGGTACCTTTGTTGGCGGGCAAACTGTCTGGGCGTGCAGCAGACGCCTACCGGGCTGTACCCAGAGAGGACAGCAAGAATTATGACAAGGTAAAGCAGGCGCTATTAGAAAGGTATGCCATTACCCCAGAGGCATACCGGCGCAAGTTCCGAGAATTGAAAAAAGTGGACAAAGACTCACATGCGGAGTGGGCACACAAGCTTGACCAAGCCTCACAAGGCTGGATACAAGCCAGCAGAGCTACCACCATGGAAGAGTTACGCCAGATGTTGCTACTGGAGCAGTTTTGTAATGGCCTGGCACCAGAGGCTCAAGAATGGGTGAATGACCGAAATCCTCACACCCTAACCGAAGCGGCATGATTGGCGACCAACATTATGATGCTAGGAGGCAT